AAAAAAAAATGAATGAAACTAAAATAATATTTTTTTCATTTATAATATTTTGTCCTCTATAGCAGTTTCAAAATATTATATTAAGCAAAGCACGTTTTTCGTAGTTCATACCATCAGAAAAAAGATTGATTGCATTCAGTATTATTTGACATGATTTACCACAATCTCGCAATTTTCACTTACAGATACTGTAATATTTCTTTTGACAATATCTATATTAAATCTACCCACTATTGATGCAGTCTTAATAGCTATCAAATAATCTAATCATAATACATTTTACCTATATTTGCACTTATTAAAAATTACACCAATTACCATAATATCAGTAGTACCTATTACCAAAATTAATTAAGCATCATTGGTGTCAATATTTTACATTTCTCCTGAACAAATTAGCTCTATTTCTCAATTAATTTTGCTTTGTAGTACTTAGAGTATACAGCGTTCGGTAAAAGACCAAAAAAGATGAAAATAGAAATCCAAAAATGTTATGTGCAAAAATACTTTTTAAATAATTGAAAAAATACCTGGCGCTTAAGCAAGAAAAAAATGTTATGTAGGAAACATTTATCCACAAACAGCGTTTTAATAAAAATATTGACGCGAAACTTTATTTATTTATTTAAATTGTGTGAATAGAAATCTCAATCTGCGATTTTCAAATAACCCGAATCTCCACATTTAAATTTAAAATTGTGTGAATACGAATCTCGATGTTTGATTTTAAAATCGCGTGAATATGACTTTAAATATTTTACTATAAAATCGCGTGAATACGAATCTCGGTGGTTGGTTTTAAAGTCGCGTGAATACGAATCTAAATATTTGATTATAAAATTGCGTGAATATGAGTCTCGATGTTTTACTTTAGAATCACGGGAATACGAATTCCGATGTATAATTTTTAAGTAACTTGAACACGAATCATAATAGTGGCTTTTTAAATAACGTGAATAAGAAACTCGATATTTGGTATAAAATCGTGAAAATACGAATCACGATCTGCGATCTTAAGTTGCGTAAGTAATCACGATGTTAGATTTTAAATCATGTCATTTTAAATCACATTTGTATGGGCAGAAAAAGACACAAAAAAGTATCCTTTTTCCCCGCTGTAATTCGACAAAAAGGCGAACTTTCTTTGAGGATTATATTTTTCTTTTTTATTAATTGTAAAAAAACGTTCAGCTATGGTGGCAAATTTTCCACGAACGGCGTTCATGTATATCTATCATAAAGGTCTGCTTATGTGACGAATCTGTAAATTTTTACTTCCCTGCTATTTAAATAATATTTTTGCTTGCATGCTATTTCAATGATACTTTTTGATTCCTCGAATGATACTTTTGCTTCCATGCTATTTAAAATATATTTTGCTTCCATGCTATTTAAAAATATTTTATTTAGACAATTCTCTTCCTTCTGTGAAAGATTAATGATGCTTTTGCCCCACTCTATTTAAGTGATATTTTTGTTTTACTGTTGTATAAATTAAATTTATGCTTTTTTGCTATTTAGATGAATTTTACTTCCATGCTATTTAAATGATACTTTTGCTTCAGTGCTATCAAACTGATATCTTTGCTTTCATGCTATTTAAATGATATTTCTTGTCCTCATGCTATTTAAAGGAATTTCTACTTTCAAGCTATTAAATTATTACTTTCGCTTCAATGCTATTTAAAACACATTTTGCTTCCACGCTATTTGAATTATACTTTCTCTTTTTTCATGCTATTTAAATGATATTTTTGCTTCCATACTGTTTTCATGAATTTCTACCTCCAAACTATTTGAATGATACTTTGATTCCATGCTTTCTTTGCTATTTAAATAATACTTTTGCTTTCGCTCAATCTAAAATGTTTGTTTTCATTTTTTTAAAATCTTATTTTTGCTTTTGCTCTCTAAATTATTCTTTTAAATGATACTTTTTATCCATATTATTTAAATGATATTTTTGCTTTTATGGAATTACTGATTAGTGCATTTAAAACCAAATATGGCTGGTGCAATATTTATTTTCTCTTTATACTAAATATTTGTTTCTTTAGTTAACACTATAATAAGTCCCAAGTGAAATTTCATATCAGTATAGTTTTTCTTTCAGCTGTTTTACTAGTGCTTCAATATTTTTAAGTGAAAGATGATATATTTTGGCTAATATTTCCTTGTCTACGTTTATTTCTCTAAATTAAGACACTGTAATTCTTCTAACTTAATAAAGCAATAGAAGGTTAGTTTTTGTTTAGAGATGTTTACGATCCTATCTTCCGTGCCTTTGGGAATTTTTAAAAAGAAACAGAATCCGTTTTCTCTCGCTTTATTTATGTTAGCAAACAATCTTTTGTTCGTTTTACTTATTTATTTTGAACTAAGGCTAGCTTTATTTGACAAAATTTGTTGGTTTTAGAAGATCGGTGTACAACGTGATGTTTATGATACTAATCTCTTGACAATTTTCGTGAAAGTTAAATTTAGATGGAAAAAATTTTTTTTTGAATTTTTGTTTTTAGTTCAACTGTAAAGTTCTGTATCATAGTATATACAGTAAACCTTAATGATTTAATAAAGAGATTTATCTTTAACTTGTTGCTTTCTGGTTTTAAACGTAGTTTTTAAATTTTATTTCTTTATCTCAGTATGGTGTAAAATTTTTTTTCGTCTTAGAACTTAAAAAAAATTATTTAACAATAAATTTTAGCGATTAAAAATTCGATTCGTTTCTTTTTTAAATTTTGTTTTGCATCAACGTTGAGAAAATTCGTTTGTAATAACTAAATTATAAAAAAAATTGTTTCTATAAATAAAATTTTTTAAATTCAAAAATATTGAAGCTAAACTTAAAAAAAAAAAAGAAAATTTAAAGGCAATTAGAATCCAACAGCAAAAAATGCGTAAACTGCAAAAAATTCTCATGTGATTGTATTTTGAATAACACATGGTGTAGTTCTTTAATTTGAAATAGACCTTAAAATCATCGCATATATTTTGTAACAGAAAGTGTAAAAAACTGTAGAAGTATTTCATTTGAAATCACACAATTCTCGCTATTTTGCATCAAAAAGTGTTAAAACCAATGAAGAAGTTTTAAATATGAAGTATCTTAAAGTTGTATTTCTCGATACTTTACTAAAGAAACCTGTAACGAAGTCTTTATTTTAAAATGGCATTGCTCGATATTTTATAAATGAAATTGTAGCAACGCATAAAGAAGTTTTTCACTTTAAATATCTTAAAACTTATTTTTATTTAGTTTGCAATAGAGAATTTAGAAATCCATACATAAATCTTTATTTTAATTATCTTAAAATCGTATTTTTCGATACATTACAAAAGAAAAAGTAGAAACCTATAAACCAGTCTTTAATTTGAAATTATTTAAAGTCTTTTTTATCGGTACTTGGTAAACGAAATTTTGAAAAATTAGTAATAAGTCTTTAATCTGAAACATCTTAAAATCTTATTTTTCGCTGCATTGCAAAAGAAAAAGTAAAAATCCATAAACACGTCTTTATTTTAAAACTCTTAACGTTGAGTTTCTCTGTATTTTGCAAAAGAAAGTGTAGAAAGCCTTAAATCAGCATTTAATATGAATTGTTTAAAAATTGCATTGCAACTTTGTAATTTGAACGATATCTTGCTACTGAAATTGCAGCACAATAAAGAAGTTTAGCAGGTCCTTTATTTCAAACATTTTAAATCTTATTTCTCTATATTTTGCAATAGAAAATGTAGAAATCCATAAACAAGTCTCCAGCTGGAAATATTTCTAAATTGTATTGCTTGTTGTTTTTGACTTTCAAAATTTTTCTAGGCGAGCAGTTTTAAACTTTCTTTTATATAGCATTCTACAAGAAATTTCTCTACAAACAAGCACAACATACCGAATGCTTTTTCATAAATTTTAAATCCGTTTCAAAAAATAATTTATCTAAAATTGATAAATGCTCTTAAATTTAACAAAGTTTTATTATAGGTAAAATCTTTGTTTTGAATTGCGCTAAGAGTCTATCTTAACAATTAATAGTTCTTCTTTGGTTTATATTTATCGTTTTTATATTTGAATAACAATAGTAGTCCAACATTATTATTATCCATAATTTTAAACTTTATGAAATGCAATTAGTTAATAGAACAATAAACAAAAATAATTAATTGATAAAACATTTCTTTCAAAAAGTTCAACTGATTTTTGGCGAACAAAATATAATTTTCAACAGTATAAACAAAAGAAAGTCAAAAATATTGTCATAAAGACTCAAAAATATTCGGCTATTTTCAACGAATAAATTTGAACTCCTTCTTCTGTTTTTGTCAAAAACATACTCCCTCAAGCAGGATTAATTTTATTCGAAATGTTCAAAGTTTCCAGTCAAAACTTTGATAAAATAACAAATAACTTTTAGAAATAAAATAAAAGGACATTTTCCAGAAACTCGTCCAAGAGAGCTTTTCAAGTGAATTTAATTCGTACAGTTCCAAGACTTATCTAAGGCTAAATATTTATAGTATCAAAAATAATATATTTTTTAAGTGTTTAATCACCTGTTTTTTAGAAATGGAATTAAATTTTTTTGTACAATTTTATTTCGAGACTTTAGGGAAATTTGAAGAAAATTGATTTTGAAATTGATCTTTTATGAACTGAAATATAAAGATTACACATTTTTTAACATTAATTTTACAATTAGGTAGTAAAAATATTTTTTCAAAAATTTAATTCAGGAAGGACCATCTTCTAAGCAAAAAATAAGCACTAATTTATTAACAAAGGCGATATAGTGTGGTGGTTGTGTAAAAGTATTCAAAATAAAGTTAAATAGCTTGGAAGACTATAACGATAAGCCACATTTTAATATTATAATGACACGCCTCAAGCTTTTTGACTATAAACATTAATGATTTATTTTAGAATGAAGAGTAATTTTAGAATGAAAATTCCCACGGTATAAAACAATAGATTGATGCAACAGATAATAATGATTGATACTGACCTCCGCAGATTGCCCGATGTACCGACATGGTTTGTGGATCCAAATGGATGTTATATCTCATGTCACATTTCATTTTCTGTATCTAATTAGGATTCACCTGTTAACAAATATTATTTCTCTTAGTATTGTTTGAACAGTAATGTAAAGAAATCGATAGAAACATATATAATAGAGTAGCTAAATTCACAAATTTTCATAAGATTTTCTAATATCTTCAAAATTTTCCGTTCAATCAAAGTTAAGAAAACCATTGTTTATAAAATTTAAATACAATAATATCGAAGTTTTTATTTCGACAGCATTTTATAACACTGATGTTGTATATCCACCAATAATTATCGTGATATTAGAATTTTTTTTATAATTACCTTATCGTTAACAATACCCCAATATTATTGTATTCAATAATCGTCGTTGCGATAAAAGTGGTAATATTATCGTTGTTGATAATTATTTTGTGCTTGAAATTTGATATTTATGACATGAAATTTTATTCGTGATATATTGTGAGAATGACTAACGGATCATTAAATTATCATCATCATCATTGGAGCAACAGACCAGGATAGGCCCAGGCCTTCTCGAGGATTCTCTTCTGTCCTGACCTGTTCTCAGCAAAGGTTCTCCAGCCCTTATCTACAGAATCGGACCATGTGATATTATCGTTGTTGATAATTATATTATACTTGGTATTTATCGCATGAAATTTTATTCATGCTGCATTGTAAAAAATATCTACTATAATATCTTTATTGCAAAATAAATCAATGCTTTGCGATATATCACCGATACATCATCATCACGATAAATTACATTACTTAGCATTTTCGTACGGATTTTATAGATTTAGCATGCTCATTATAGAATAAAGAACTTAAAAATATTTCCAAACACAGAACTTTAGAATTGACTACTATATGTTGCTTAAATCTATTTTAAAAATAGTATCACAGTTTATGTATAAAGCTAGACTAAAAAGCTTTATATATTCTAGTCTAGCTTTATGAACGGTGGTTCTAAAAATAGTATCACAGTTCATATACGAGTATTAAGGGTGGTTCTAGAAATAGTATCACAGTTCATATATAAAAGGTGACTCTAAAAATAGTATCACTGTTCATGTATAAAGCTAGACTAAAGTAGAATAGTATCCAATAAACAAGTTCAGATTTCGAAGCAACCTGAAAAGAACAACAAAAATAGTTCCCTGGAGATGGCGATCATTGGTCTGCTACCCCAAATTATACAAATTGAAGATACTTATTTTTGTATGCTGCCCTTCTTAATAATATTCGTTTTCCACTGCCCACCATATTTACACTCGTCATTCAGGTATCTGCTTGGCAGATTTGTTGGCCACTTTTTCACGAGAAAAATATTAGATGGACCAACGTTGCTCCCACAGTAAGGACAGTTAGTACAGAGAATGAAGGAACATCCATGCCTTGTCCGGGATTCGTACCCAGTACCTTTCTGATGCAAGGGCAGGTTTCAGAAAATTTTCGTTATTTGCGTAAAGTAAGTTATGATGTTTTAATGCTTTTCAGTATTTGTAGAGTTTATACTTATCGATCTAGCAAGGTTTTCATCGGTTTAAATTAGTTAACTTTTGAATGTTTGGAAAATATCTACTTATTCGGTCGTTGTAATATCGTTGTAAAACTAATATCGTTGTATCGTAGTTGTAATAACGTTGTAAAACTAAAAAGAAATAGCTTTAAACTTTAATCATGAGTAAGTGGCAAATTTTCTTAAAAAATTATTTTTTGCAATTTCCATAACCATTTCGTGATCGCGTGGTTTGAAATACTTTATGAAGTAGTTATTTTGGTTATTAAAAAAAATAATGTTGATTTAGTCCAATAAGTATTGAAACTTGTTTTAAGCAAATTCTTCGCTTTATTAATGAATAAATCGATTCACCAAAGAAGGAAAATAAATCATCAAGGTTAATTGCTAATATATTTCAAATGATTACCTTTTGAATACTCTTTTTGTTATAAATTAAATATGATTGTTTCTAAATTCACTTTTATTATGGAAATTTATATAATTTTGTTTATTTTCGATACAATATATTCAGACGTGAAATGTAATATATTCAGATAGAAAGATCTGCTTTTTATTATTTCAAGATTCATAAATAAGTATTTATAATACATTATTCAATCGCCAATACCAAGAAATGTGCGACAATTTTAAAAATCAATTCAAACAGAGCGGAAAGAAATAGAACTGTATACATTGCTGTGTTGTGATCAGAAAACCTAGTTATTTTCACAAATTTTCAAAATTAGTTACTAAGTTCATCAATAGATGACCCCAGAACTGAGAAAGCTGTCAAACAAAAAAAGCTATTGACAAAAGTGGCAAGCACTCGTCCTAAGTTGTAATTTTAAATGAAAATTCTATTTTATGGTGTTAGTTAAAAAAAGAACCATCTGTCGAGGCACTTTTATAACTAATTTTTAAAAATTTGCTAAAAAATTAAATTTATAATAATGTTTTTGAAACAGAACAGAGCTAACTGTACGTTTCTTTCTATTTTTATTTAATTGAATCTTTATATTATTGATCATTTTTTAATACAAGGTATGCTCAAAATCTGGAAGAAAAAGGTAAAAAAAGACTCGTTTTTTCAATTTCTGCCTGCAAAATAAATAAAAAAAGTCACACTCTTAATAACTTCTGAAACTGTCGGGATTTCACGAACAATTAAAAAGATGAACTTTGAGTAAACTGATTAAATAGTGCATACTATAAAATAATTTCTGAAATCAAATTCCAAAAAGTTCTTTTTTTTTTAAATAAAAATACTTACAACACAAGTCGGGGTGGATGATTCCAATAGTTTGGTTAGAAAACCAGTCGTATAAGTTCGAAGATCATATTTTTCTTATTTGCTCCTTATTATTAGATACTAAAAGTAATTTCTTACACTAAAATATCTTTGCAATCCTTATATAACTCGTTTGACACAAAGATTTCTTACCTAATTCATACAATTATATATATTCTTACAATTTATGTTATTCAAACTAATATTACTTGTAGAACTTGTAATTTTTTACAAATCTTTTAAAAAAATGCAGTTTTTATTTGCCGAAATTGAAATCGGAAAGAAATCAATTGAATAGCTTCAGAATTACTTTTCCGATTGTCTTAATTTATAAATATCTTCAGAATGTAAATAAATTTATTAATAACAATCCCGGTAACTAGCTAGTCTGTAGTATTTCGAGATTTTAAATAAGTAGAAGTATTTCAAGTATAAGTAGAAGTATTTCGAGATTTTAAATCGGGCAGTATAAAATCAAGACTATATGTAAGCAAAATAAACTACTAAAATCTACTCAAGTGTGTGTGAATTTAATTTTTGCGTTTTACACATGTTCGTATGGTATCGTGGCGACTGAAAATTTTTAGTACAACATATGCTAACATTTAAGAGAAATGTGCTAATTATCTCAATGGTATATTTGACGAATAATAAAACAAATGAGCAATTTTGTCAAACTGTGCACTACCTAAGCCTTAAATGCGTGTACATAAATATTTTCGCTCGTATACATATACTAACCATTTGTTCAGTTAAATTTACTTTCAGTTTTGTATTTTACATTAAATCTGTGGTTATAAGAGCTACAATTCTGAAAACCAGAATTTCCTGTAAACCGTTACTGTATGAACGGAGAAATTATCAAATTAATGGTTTAAATATCGTGTATTTTGGTTTTATTAACCAGAATTATGTTGTTTTTTTTTTAATGCAGAAATGTCTTTACCATATATTAAGGTACTTTTAACAGAATATTTTTTTCCGTATACAATTTATAATTATGAGTATTATTTTGATTTAACAAGTTTTTAGTTTTTTTATACATAATGTAGAAATTTTATTTTTCTTAAAATAATTTTACGTAGAAAAAGTTTTTATTACAAACTTTGCTTGCGTTGTCAAAAGGCATATTTATCACAATTCGCTGGAATACATAAATTGTTTTTGTCAAAAATTATTGACATAAATTTTTTTTTTATTAATAATTACGTAGACGTAAGTTGTAGACAAAGTTAGTCTTTGCCTATATAGTTTGTTTTATACAAAGTTTATTTTTTTTTTATCAGAATTTGCTTACGTAAACAAAAAATCAATTAGAAATCTCTTACATAGAGAAACTTTTATCAAAATTTTCCTACGTAGTAAAAAAAACTATTTAAAGCTTTGCTTACGTGAACATATGCTTTTTTTCCCAAAACTTATTTAGGAAAGCAAAATAAATTTTTATTAAAACATTCTCACGAAGAAAAAAGTTAATTAGTAAAGACAAAAGCCATAATTTGCTTCCATTAATTTTTTTTTAAAGTTGTCTTCCACTATTTTAAATATTGAAACAGAATCTGCAAGTATTCTCTAACAATTCTGTTACATTAGTTTTCATTAAAAGCTTTATTGCAGTGTCGAAAAGTGTATAGAATTGCTCTTATTAATTTAATATTCGTCTATTCTAATGTGTCCAAAAGAATATTGTGTATGACACGGAAATGATTAATAGCTTTTAATATTTAGTACAACATAATAGATAAAATTTGCTACTGATAAAAAGTTTTTTTATGGCAATGTGAATAGTTTGAGATAATAATGATTAATAGTACAGACAATTCACACGGGGTTGAGTTCATGAATGAAGAATTTTCTATAATAGAACAGACAATGAGAACTTTTATGAATATCTTCGAAACTATTTTATAACATTTAATATTTTATTCTTAATATTAATTTTAATATGGAATTTCGTGGGACAATAAGTAGAATAAAATCTACTAAAATTGCATGTGATGATATTTAGTTTAAAGATAAATAAGAATGTTAATAAATAAAATTGCGATAAAAGTTGCTGGTACGATGTTGATTAGATTTAGTAATCGAAATCAGCTGATCTCAATCAATTGCTATAACATACTGATGTGAATCCTTGCTTTGAATCAACTTATATACTTATTCAAATCACTTTTGAAGATGGAATTGAAAGGAATCAAAAAACTAATTCGTATGAATCACATTGTTATCTCTATGCAACTTAAAAAAATCTTCTATAA